AGAACTTTCAGAAATAATATCACCCAAAGTTGTCCCTGCTGTAGAAAATGAATGATCTGGTGGCAATGTATCAGAACCTTCCAATGCATCACTACTAGTGCTATTACTAATATCATCAAGCTCATTGATGTCATTTGAAATAGTATCAAGCTTTTTCTCCATTTCTTGTCTCTCAAACTCTAATTCCTTGGCCATTTCTGCAGCTATTTGTTTATCCAACTGTGTTCCTTCCCTCTGTCCACCTGTTTTTGTTGTAATTCTAGTGGGCATTTCCCATGGTGTCGACCCAATATATGTCCTTGCGCTATACAAATGAGGGGGCTCAAAATCTGATTGTTGCGTAACAAAGGACGATGATGCCAACACTCCAGGGGTTGTATTGATCGAATTTTCCAGGTTGGGTTTTTGGTAAGAGCTTCTCTCTAGGTCTCGTCGATGGTTGATTGCAGAGAAAGGTTGCCTATTTCTTCGTAGGCGCTCCTCATTTTCTTCTTCGTCATGGTCTTCCTCCAACAACATCAGTGGATCAATAATTACTGCATTAGACGCGGCTACAGGCGTTAATGCCGTAGCCGGTGGAGGTACTTCAACAAATGATCCTGAAAACGATGGTCGTGAAACTTTACTGTTGATATCTGATGGAACGTCCGTTCCATAGGCACGAGACAACCTCCGTTGAAGCATAGCCGCGGCAGGCGATGAACCTGGAGGCTGAGCCAAAGAGCTAGTCAAGGTTGAGATACGGGTTGTGGGTGGGGGTTTTGGGAGGTTGGCAGGGCGAGGATGAATCTGAATAGGTAACGATGTACCAAGTAACATCGCGCCAGCGGCTGCAGGAGCAGTTGAGCTATATTCTCCGTCACCTTCATCGTGGAAATCAAGTTCGTCGTCATTAAGAGACTGTTTATGTTGCCGAAGTCCTTTCTGTCGACGCAAATAGTTAGCCCGAAGAGATCCGACAACCATTCCACTGTATTTGGGTAATGACTGTCCTGAGGATTTAATTGAAATACCATTACTGGTTGACTGAATAGTAAAATCATTGAGATTAATATTGTCATCACCATCATTGTCATTGTCGTCAACCTCTTCTCTCGCCTCTTGTCCATCGTTATCGAATCCAAGTTCTTCATCTAGCTCAAATACCACGCCATCTTCTTCGTCGTCCTCGTCCTCATCGTCATCTTGATCTATCAAATAACAATTTTAGCATTAGATCCATATAAATGAGTCATTTTCCCTCTCTTTTTTTTCATGCTCACAGAATAAAACATCGTTGCATACCATCAAAATCTCCATCATTAACTCCCTCAGGCTCCGCAGCTGAGAAGCGATTGACCGATTCGCTTATTGTTACTTTCTTTTTTGGTTTTACAGAAGCTGATGATGTCTCAGTGTCCAATATGGTTGATGGTTGATCTTCGATAATGGAAGAAGTGGCATTCGCTGCAGTGTTGGATTGCGTTGGATCAATGCTGTCTTTTACGTCCTCGGGTAGGATAGTGTTGGCGGATATCAAACTTTGTCGTCTCAAGCTATTAGAAGTTAGACGTTGATCAAACTCTCTGAATTGAAGTGACATGGATACATCCGAGTGAGAAGACTTTCTTTCAAAGAAGGGTCTCTGAGGTGAAGTGCTCGTAAATCTAACTGGCAAAGTGCCTGGTACATCCAGTAGATGCTGAGACGACCCATCATAGCCGATATTCAATGATCCATCAGAATTATTCCCAATGACCCCAGTTTCTCCAGATGATACAGGCGGGGCGGTGACACGCTCCTGGATTCGAACCCACAACCGATCCTTTTCGTGCTTTGTGCTAGCTATTGATTTCTGTAATGCCATCATTTGTTGTGATTTATAGGCTTCGATCCTCGCTTCGGTCTTCTGTTGCTGCGCATTGAGATTCGATTCAAGTTCCTTTTCAAGTATATTACGTACTCTCTCAAGATGTGGTCGATATGGGAACTCGGGCTGTTTTTGTTGCGCTGCTGCCGATGTTGAAGAATTGCTGAATGGATCCGATAATCGAGAGTCGGCAGTAGAAGCCGAGGAAATATCAAGTACAAGTCTAAAGGCGTGTGAATAATTAGGGTCATCGAGACGAGCAGCAATATCCTCGCCAGTAATGACAACTTCTG